TTAATAAGTCAGCTAATTCGACTGCAAATTATTAAAAGAAAAATCAATTTTTATGCTTTTCTTGGAACGTTTTGACCAAAAATCTGTGGTTTTTTGCGCCCCCTCTTCTGAATATACGCGGACTGACAAGGATGGAGTAAGATCAGCTTAAGTAAGAAAAAAACTTTGGAAACAAAACAATTTAAAATATCTACTGTTAAAAGTAAAACAATCAACTTAAATGAATTCTAAATGAATCTTAAGCCATCTTTCCTTTTTGTTCCGACTTTCGAAGAAAACAGAATATTTATGCTCGATGTGGTTTTTTTATTCAGTCAATTTTCACCGATCGAAATAATAATTTTCAACAAAATTTTTTATACCCCACTGAAGATATCGACTTCCTGAGTTCAAATTTAAAGAGATATTTCACCTCCGATTATTTTTGTTAAGTTTTGGGGTTTGAAAATTGCCAAATTTGCAATGTTCTAGACTAAATTAAGCTCGCTTTTAAAGAGTTATTCATAATACTGAGAGCGTAACGCAAAATTGTTCCAAACTGAATTGAGCTAACTGGTCGTATTAATTTCGTACGTTTCACAATTTTAATTTTACACATTGATTTTGTCCAATATGTATAGGTTTTTAATATATTTTTTCCCAAATACTACTTGATATGAATTAGGAGACAGTCGGAACATTCAGGGCTTTGCCCAGATACGAGCAGACTTGTCTTTTAATAACCTTGTTTTGGAGGCTTCTTAAATCAGTTTAAATTGAATCAAATTTTTAAATGGATTGAAATTTTTTTTTTAAATCTTTTTCATGCTAACTATTTTATTCAGATTATAACTCAATTTTTTTAATTTTTTTTTTCAACTTTCAATCAATAAGAGCATGCTTTTGTTTTTACTTTCCGTGCTGATTTTTGACTTTGAGTGAAATTATAGAAATAGAGAGGTAAGAATTTCGCAAAGCAAAGTTAATGGTTCAAGCGATTCGAGCTAATCAAGCAAAATGTTGATCTACCACTGAACTTTGAAGAAATTTTTATCTAGTTCTATTATTAATTAATAGTTAAGGTTTCTGCGATTCGCAGAAAACCTATGAGAAACTATAAGCATATTTCAATAGTATTAGTTATCAACATTCCAAACTGAGTTATTTTGCTAAAAATTGCCTTTTTGTCCGACTCAAGATAGTTTTTTTTTAACCATCGAAAAATTTATTTGCTAAATCCTGAAAAGAATTTTCTCAACCTAATTTTTAAAAGTAAATAACGTTTCTCAGGCGACTGAAAAAGGCTGGATTTGTCGTGTTTTTTTGCTCAAATTTCTTATCAAAAATAAAAACTGAAAAATTTTGACTTGGTTTAATTGAGTTTGATCAAGTTTCTAGGCACTAAAAATGATCCTAAATTTTCCACGTACTTTGATGTAAATCAGTGTAACTCCCAGTTCAGATCTTAAAGAAGTTATGTAAAATCAATTTTGGTTTATTTTAAATTGATTTAATTCAATTTGTATCAATCACAAGCCTAGTTTTGTCCCAGTTGTTATATTAGCGGACAAAGAGCCTTTAAAAAAATAAAGTACAAATTTTTGTTAATTTACTTTTTAGGAAACCCGTGCTTTAACTACCGTTAAACAGTAAAATTGATGAGTTTCATTGTTTAGAAAGAATTGATTCACAATTATTTGAAGAATATCAATTCACTCTGAAAACACAGTGCATATTATGTTAAAATAATTTTTCTTGAAAAGGCACTCCAAAAACCTCAATTTGAGCAGCCAGATTAAATAATTTCACTGTTTTTGTTCCGACTTTTGTGACGAAAGTAACGGAAAATTTGTGCTCGGGTTGGGGTTTTTTTTTCTTCAGACAAGTTTCGACTTTTTACTTAGCCATTTTTGACGGATTTTTTTTTATATCATTCGAAGGCTTTGTTGTCCTGAGCTTAAATTTGAAAAGATATTTACCTGTGATTTTTTCCGTAAAATTATGGGGGTTTAAAAATTGCCATTTGGCCAACAATTTTTAAATGCTATTACTGCTCCATAGACCTCAAAAGGCAGTCGGAATATTCAGGTCCTCGCCCTGATACGAACAGTTTTGTTTATTTATACCTTTGAGTTAGTTAGAGCCAGTGTTGCAAATTAAATTGTGCAACATTAGTGCAACGTTTGTTCTGTTTTCAAAATTTGTTCAAAATCTTTGCAGATAATCTGACTTCAATGTGGCTTTGTGTAAAAATCAAGCAGAAACTTGATAAAAATTTTGAAAGCCCTTTGCATTTTCGCGACATATATTGCGTTGACAAATAGCGTAGAATATAAAATGCCAAGAACAATAAAAGATTTTCGGTTCCACTAAGTCATTTCAAAACACTACCCCAGTGCATTTAGCATTGCAAAGTCTTTTTATTTCTGTCAAGAGCAAGAGTAGAAAAAACGAATTAACGAGACGGCCTGGCCTCGAATGCTTCGATGGCCATTTAACATCTCTCAAGTAGCTCTTGGTGATCATACGTTTTTTCTCAGTTTCTTCCCTTTTCGAGCCAATTGAACCGGCAGCCGATGCAATTCCTTTATAGATAACTGAAAACTATATAATTGAAATAGCATAGATTCATTTTGGCCGACGGAATTGTCAATTTTCAAATCTGTATAACTCTACAAATAATGGATGCAGGCTTAAATTCTTTTTTAAATGAGCACAGAGCTGAAATATTTTTCAAGAATTAGAAAAATCTGACCAAAAAAAAGGCTCTTAGTCTCGAATACAAAACTATCTGGGTAAAAACCAGCCTGGGTACAAGTATTCCGTTGCTTTCTTCGAAAGTCGGAAAATAAAATTGATTGGATGTCACTTAATGCTTCATGATGATTAATTTTAAAAAATAGAAAACAGCATTGCAAGCTGCGATATCAACAAACCGCAATTTTTAATGCAAACCAACAAAAGATATTTATACGCAAAATTTTTTAACTGATATTAGGATGAAAATATTGGGCGCAATTGTTTCATGCCCTAGCGCAATTTTTTAGTTCATCTTTGAAGTATGATAAAATGGTTTCCTTTGATCCATGTACATTATGTTTTTTTTTCCTAAAAAATGCGCTCAAGCTCAGAGCATTGTAACACAAGAATGTTCAGAAGAAATGTTCAGATCATGAACAATAGTAACCTAAAAATCGTAATCGAAATTTTTGAAAAAAAAATAATTGACACATTGAAAAAAAATTGAGTGGTCCAATTACGCAAATCAATTTATTTTAATTGTGAACTATGCCTTCAAACTACACAAAAAAATCTTTTGCTTGAAAATAAAAAAAATCAATTCAAATTTTTCAGACATAAATGAATGATTTTTCAGCAACGCCTAAAATGCGAAGTTTTACTACCAATTAGTCTCCCAGGAAACGTGCGAGTCAAGCGTTCCTTAGCACAGACTGCTGGGTATGTTCCGCAGTTTATTTAACTCTAGTTTAAAAGGTAAGACAGCTTATCTTTTATTTTATTTTTTTTAGATTGGATTCACAATTATTTCCAGAATCGCAATCAGTGTGTTTAGAGCATTTGTAAAAACAATATTTGAATTGTTACTTAGATTTTAATTGTCTTCTTATTTGTTTGAGTTTTGAAAAACGGCGCAAATTGAACCTATTTTTTGACTTATAAAAATCACAAATGCTCTTCGAGTTTTTTACAACATCGAGAACCAAAAAAATGAATACCTTAATTGACTTCGTTACTCGCAGGTTGTATAAAATGTACTTAGTTAAAGCGTATAGTTTAAGCTTAAATAAACTTGAGTGCAAACTTTACCAGTGGTGGCGAGGGTATGGACGCTTTTCCTTCAGGGATTCGACCCCCTGATCACCCAACCACCCATAGGGTCCCTCCTTTGGTATTATTTAAGGCATCCGGTGTCGAACAAGTCTATATTTTTTACTAAGGCGCCTTCGATACAACTATCACAAAGTGACCCTGCGCCAAAAAAGAAATGTTTTTTTTTTCGGTCAAAACATTTCAATTTAAGAACAGTGTTTCAGGCTTGGTTTTTTCAAAAATTTCCCTGCGGTGCAGAAAATGTTTCCAGAGTAGGATCTTACTAGTGTTTGGGAGAGCTCTGAAAATCAATTTGCTCCACCTAAAAAAGGTCGAGAAATGGTTCAATATACTTTTTTGAAAATTTTTCGCCCTCAAGATAATCCTATAATTCTGACCAAGTTTTTGAATGAGCAAGTTTTTGTACCTAAAATCAACTTCACAACCACAAATCAACTCTAAGATTTGCCGTCGTCCAAGAGTTACAGCTTAATGAAAAAATTAGTTCGACACCATCCCTAGGTACCCGATAACCCAAAATTTAAACTCAATGAATTTTTTCTCGAACTGTTACCCATAAGTTGTGCAATTCGAACCTTATAATAATACTCAAACGTTGAAAGTCAAAACTAATTTGGATTTGATCAATTTACCAAGACAATCAATCAATAAACTCCAACTTTCATCTCAGAGTTGATTTGCTAAATGGCGAAATTTGTCGAGAGCCTTTGAACTGCTCTGATTTCTGAGTCTAGTTGAAAGTAATCGCATAGTTGGGACGATTACAAGTGTCTTGAGTTGGTAGAATACTTGCTTAAGTTTCGATCTCTGTTTGATAAATACTCGCAAAATTTGAACTTTAGACGCTTCATCTTTTGGTAAAACGTTACCAAAACTGAAAATTACAGTAAACTGTCTTAGCTTATATTTGCATCACAATCAAGAATAGACTTTATATCTTTTTTCAACACGTTGCTTAAGACTGATAAGTAACTTTTTGTCATTTATTAAACTCTTTTTATCTTACCAATTTCATTTTATTACCATATGACAAAAACTGTGTAAGTCGGCGTGCATAATTTAATTCAAAATAACACACTTTGCTTACTACAGGAATTTTACTGTTCACAATTATTATCAAACTTGCTACTGTTTTCAGTCATTTAATCAGTGTAATTAATCTGTTTCAGTAGCTACTGGCTTTGAGACTGCAGATAAACAGCCGGGAAACCAGCCTGAAAACCAACGACCCTGAGTTCGATTTTTCTCGTCTGATTATTACTGATATTTATATTATCACCTCGTTACATAATCTTCTTACCATTGCCGAGGATTCCACAAAATTATAATTGTTTTTCTAACACTTTTTGACGAATTGGTTTTGTCAACTGAAGGGAACTGAGAAAAGGCGAACAATTGAGGAACCGCAAGTTGAAACGTAGTCGTGCTAATCGTGATGCCGTCGTTTCCGAAACTAAAGGGGTCTGGGTCGGAGAGTGGTTCGTCCAGTGACAGTTCCAAGGGATACTCCGACAAAAGTAAGTAATCCAGTTCTCATTCAGTTCAAAAGAGTACAAGTAATATTTAAGAGTTTTTCCTGTACCAATTTTAAGAAAATCGCGCCTTTGCAATCAGAAGAGAATACTTTTTCAGGCTATTTTTATATATATGGAATCCTGACTAAATTGGCTCTTACTCGATATAGCATTGTCCGACGTTTAATCATGGTACTCCATTTTGCATGCAAAATTGACATAAAAATCTGCATCCAAAATTTTTGTCCAAAAGTTTTTAATCTATCATGAAACAGCTCATATAACTCAATGCTCCATTCAATCTTCCTTGTGATAATTCGAGAACTTTGACTAAAACTAAATTAAAACAAGAATAGCCGGTTACTGAGCAAGTAGCGCAGAATGTTCCGACGATAGTCTTTAAAAAACTACAACAAAAAGCTTTTTTTCTTCAAATTAATGAAGTTTTTTCTGCATGTGGTAAAGAAAAAGTATGATGTAAAACTATATTTTAGGCATACTTGACATTTAGAGTAACATAGGCAAATAAGACAAATTTTTTTATAGAAAATTGACTAGACAACAAAAAATCAAAAAAAAATTTCAAGTTTTGTTTTTAATAATTCTTCCAAATTCTTTCCCAAATTTGTGAAGTTTTTGATTCCTAATATGAAGCTAAAAAGTCCAAAAACAAACTACATTTTAAAGGTTTAAGTTAAGCTTAATAAGCTAATGTAAGCCTCTCACTCGCTCGAAATTAGAAGAAAAATCAAAAAATTCACACTGGTTTTTCTCGACACTGAGAAACATTTTTGATTTTTTTAAAATTTCGTTCGTTTTATGACTGAAAGGGCTTTAACATGATATAACACTCAACTCAGTCCGATGATTATTTGTGGTACCTGATTTTGCGTGGCGTGGAAAACAAAAAGCAAAAAAAAAACTGAAACACACCCGAATACAAGTAGAACCGAATGTTGCGACCATGATCTTTAAAAAAATAGACGATTTTTTTTCCAATTGGTGTTTTCGTGCGTGGCGAGATGACATGATCTAACAAAATTAGGCATATTCGAAAGTCACAGTGAAATTGGCAAATTGCATGACAGCTTTTATGGAAAAATCATAAGAAAAACAAAAAAACTTGAAATAATTCATTGAAAAAATTATAAAATTCAATTTTTTGTTTGCTGTTTTTTTCAAGATTTTTATTGCAATAACGCCGCTAAGAAAACTATAAAAGTTTTTTATAAGAATTCAAATAAAATTTAACGGCTAGATCTTCTATATAATCCTGCTTTCTTGACTTCATTGCTCGAAATTTCACTAACACTCAAAAATTTAAAAGAGTTTTTTCTCGACACTGGGTCAACTTTTTGGAAATTTTCTTAATTTCATTAAAATCAGGGCTGAAAGGGCTTTAATATGATATGTAATTCAAACCCTTCCGGTATGTCTTTGAGTTACTGCTTTTGAATTAAAAACAAAAAGCAGGCTCGCACTCACTTCATTTGCTCGAAGTTGGATCAAAAATCAAAAAAATTTCAAACAAGTTTATCTTGCAGAAGGCGAGTACTCGCGCATTTCTTGCTTTTTATAAGGTAGGCACTTCAGATTTAAGGAACTTTGTATAGCTAAAATTTTGAATGAAATTCTTGAATCTGTACCTTCTCCTGTGTGAGCAACTTTTTGTTTGCTTGTTTCACGACTTAAAAAATTTTTCGGTATTTTGCCCGGGAATGAGGTTATGTTTTTAGACTACGGCAAACTGAAATAACAGTTTCCAGCTTTTTGCGACAATAAAAACTAAAAAAAAAAAAGTTATGCGAAAATCAACACAAACTTCCTCAGCAATATAGCGCTTCCTTGGCAATAAAAAACTTTGAAATGAGCAAAAAAACTATTCAAAAAAGTTAGAAAAAGTTTTTTCATTTTCGTGGTTATTCATTTTTCACAAAAAATTGACGAACCACAAACACTTTGAAATAAACAGACAAAACCTTTCAAGTTTTTTTTATGAAATTGGTGGGAACAATTTGAGCTACTTGAACAGCAACTGCCTATCTTTGTTGAAAATTGCAGTTACTTAGTGAGTAGAAGTTATTAATTCGATGTTTCATTTTTGGGCAATTTTTTCATCACGGATTTTTTTCATGAAAACTTTACAACTTTGGAGGGCGGGACAAGCAAGATCATTAAATTTTAATGCAACTTTGAGTCTTTACTGTTTTACCGCCAAAGATTACCAAAACGTTAAATGTTTTGGTCTTTGTTTGACGGTATCATCTTTGTTTGACGGTATTGATTGCAATCAATCTGATTACAGGTTCAAACCTTGAGATTCAAATTTCAAATTATCAAGAAGAAATTTAGGTCGTAAAACAGAAAAAAAACACCAAAAAATTCTAAAGTTCAAATTTTGCCAGTTGTCGCTTTCCAATTTAAATAGCGAAATTCGGATCCAAAATCTGACCCCAAAACGGATCAGTTTCCAATTTTTCAGTCAATTAAAAATTAAACCAAGTTTACTCAATCGATTACTGACAACTTTATATCAAAGTGAGACTCTTCCGCAGCCCAACTAACTTAAAGAAAGAGTTAATCTCAAAAACATGGCATATATTAATTTGTTTTTGTTTGATAGATTAAAAAGGTCGTTTTTACAAATCAACCGTACTATTTCCACGTCTAAGTGGCCTACCAAAAAGTGCCCTCCGCAAGAATGTATTAATTCTGAAAAATATTACTGTATAAATTATGTTTTTCATACAACCGGCGCAAATAAAATTGGTTTCTACGTTTTTATGCGGATTCAAATTGTATGCTGTTAATAACGGATATTAATCTTTTAGTTTAATTAAATTTTGAATCAAGTTAACATCCCCCCGGCCCCTCGAGATAGACCAAGTTAAGATCTTCCACCCCTGGATTTAATTCAGATAAAACTTGCTGCGCGCTGCATCTAGAACACTCGATCTGATTGGCTGAAAATTCTTAACTTAGAACTAAGTAAACATCCATTCTTTGGGGAAGGATGTTCACTTGGTCCCAATTTTTTTTTTAATAATACGGTTTTGAACGAATCTAGGCTATGCTCTAGGCTATAGTTTATGAAAAATCCATATTTTCTCCCCCCTAAATCGATTTGGGGGGGGGGGGGGACCTTAAGCTCATTTTTTTAGCGTAAGGTCCCCCCCAAATTAAATCCTTGTTAAAGTTTGTTGGGCTACTTTACCGGCTCACTTTCATAGAATCATTCAGTGCTAATTTAAATTATCTGGACAAAACGAATTAAATTGGAAATTTTAAACGCGTTTTTCTCAATTTAGGTTAACTTTAGGTAAGAAACGATGAAAACAAAAATTGCTGAGAAATTCAGCAGAATTAATGTGGTTCAATTTGGTGCAAAATTTGGGCCCAAAACATTATCCTAAAAACTATCATTTTTTGCTTGTTTAGTCAATCGAAATTTACGCCAAAACTACCAGGTCAAATACTGACATAAATATATCAAAGTGAGCCTCTTACGTAGTCCAACATACTTTAAGAAGGGTATACTCTGCAATACATTGTATATATATTTTTTTATTTTTGTTTAATAGACAAATAAGGTCGTTTTTACTATATAAAACACTAGTTTTTTATTTAAAAATTATTTTTGAACAATTTGGGCAATGTTTTGGAGAGTATAACATTTTTAAAGTTTGTTGGGCTACGTAAGCGGCTGATTTTGATATATTTATGTCAGTATTTGACCTCGTAGTTTTGGCGTAATTTTCGATTGACTGAAAAAGCCAAAAAGGATAGTTTTTTAGGATAATGTTTCGGCCCGAATGTCGCAAAACATATGGCAGCATATTAATTCTGCTGAAATTCTAAGCAATTTTTGTCTTGATCATGTTTTACCTGAAGTCAACCCAATTTGAAAAAAACGCCTTTCAAATTTCTAGTTTAAGGCATTTTGTCCGGATAATTTCAATTGGCACTGTACTACTGATCGACCAAGTAGTTTTGGCGTAATTTTTGACTGACTGAAAACACAAAAAATTTTTGGGGCAATTTTCGGGCCCGAAATTGCAAATTAAGTGCACCATAATAATTCTGCTGAATTTATAAGCAAGTTTTGGATCTTGTTAACTATTCCCCCACCCCTTTTGGACCTTGTTAACTATTCCCCCCTTCTATGCATGTATTATTTTTGACAACCATTTGATTTCTGTATAAAATATGCATTTCAAAACGTCAACAATTCATTGGGTTTTCATTTTCTCGCGTTTGTATTTGTATTACTAACTATTTATATAATACCTATATAAAAAATATGGACCAATTTAACATTTAAATTAAAATGAGTCATGGGGTGGAGGATCTTAACTTGGTCTATTTGCGGGGGAGGATATTAACTTGATTCAAAAACTTTAATTGGGTCTTATGGACTAAACGGCCCAATATCAAATGTTCTACATCGTAAGCTGGAAATTATGCGATCGATTTTGATTGGGTAATTTTAGCCAATCAAATTCAAGTTAGGCGGTCAGGCATTCCGATCAACTTTTCCAGCAGATAAAAATATTGGCCGAAATTTCCGAAAAGAAAGAACTTTGTAAAACAATCGGATCAATTGAGCAATCTCCCCCCCCCCCCCCATTCTCGCGTGGGGGGGGAGATAGCTCAATAGGTACTTGAGACATGTTTATAACCACTTGAAAATAGTTTGAATGACATGAAATCATAAACCATATTTTCCAACGACTGTGGAAAGCCAAAATTTACAATATCAAAGCTCAAAAGTTTCATTCAAATAGAAAAAAGAATCAATAAATCAGGCATAAAAAGCGACTTTTTTCTTTCTTAAAATTACAAAAAGCTTTTGCGTACAATATTAAAGTGCTGCGGAGAACCGTTTTTGCTATTCAGATACAAGGCTAGAGCACCAACCCTGGTAAATCGCTTTCCTCGATGAGGCTATGATCGCATATACAAAAATCTACAAAAAAAAAATTCATAAATTTCGAGTTTTTTTTTCAAAATTTTTCTCGATACTCATATAAAAAAACTTCAGTCGGTCAAATGATTGCGTGCTATAAACAAAACATCCATCTACTTCCGTTTGTTGACCTCTTTTTGAAGAGTTCATTCGTTTTTGCTGGGGGGGGGGGGGGGGGGAGATAGCTCAATTGGTCATTACGGGGGGGAGATTGCTCAATTGATCCAAACAATCAAATTAATTTTGAGTTACTTGTGAAACCATGACCAGACAAGAAAAACTTAATAAAATGGCTTGACAAATCAAAAATTCATTTTTTTTTTCATTTCGGCTAATAATTTTATCGGCTTGAAACGGCAGAATTATTTCCTTTGAAATGGCAGAAAATGTCGATGGAACTTGATTGGCTAATTAGCCAATCAAATTCAACCACATTAATTTCAGTTCAAGAGATGTAGAAATAATGATTTTGGGCCGTTTAGTGCATAAGACCCCTTTAATTAAATATATTTTTTGAAAATCATTTATAGCTATTGAACATGTGGCAGCCAAAGTTGAATTTCTGACAATCGAAATATGGAGTGGCAAGGGGGGGGTAGTTAACAAGATCCCAAATTAGATATGATGTGACCATGACGCCTCCAGAACCCCCAACGAACCGCATCATTTAAGCAATCAGACCGGTTGGTTTGCATAAATCCTATAACTTGCCATTGAAAATGCAAATTGTGCAAAATAACGGAACGTGATCGCTCACAGTTGTTTCTATAGTGCTCTATCAATGGTATTTCCGCAGTTCCTGTTGCGTTTTCGCGCAGAGAACACAAAATGCATCGGTTGCATTTCCAGAACAAATGTTGGTGATTGTTTTCATAAAACCGAAGTTCAACAGGGCAGAAAAGAAATTAAATAAATTAGGAAGGTTGCGAATGATGTTTATGAATTTGTGATGAAGCAAGGTATCATTTTTTTTGTGTAATTTGTGTATTTAGTATCTTTTTAGGGCTATGGCATAACGGTTTTCAAATCTTTATTATTTCCCAATTTTTTTTTCTATTTAATCAAACTTCGGCTCAACGTAAGATAATATGTTAGTATTTGAATTAAATGGAATAATTGCCGCTAGAGGTCGACTTGTGAAATGTTCTTTTTCTTCTTTCCTTTCTTCACAATAAAAATTCGAATGCAAAAAGATACTGTGTTACGTGTCTTTCATTTGATGGCAATATTTGAACCAAGTTTTGTTTAACGACTACTACCATCGTTTTCTACAAAATGGGTAATGCACAGGCGAAAAAGTCAGATACAACAGAAAACGGTAAGGAGAAGACTAGACCCTGCTAATGAATAGCTACGGTAATATTTCAACTTAAATGACCAGTTATAATTTTCTTTAGTGAGGGAATTTCTGGCTAAGGCGAAAGAAGAGTTCATTGCTAAATGGGATAAGCAGAGTCAGGTGAGACTTTTGAATATAAATATTTTGACGCCTGAATTATGCCGAAAAGTATCTGTTTTGTTTTGCAGGCAAACGGGAAGCTCGATGACTTTGAAATTATGAAAACTCTTGGTACTGGGTCTTTTGGAAGAGTTATTCTTGTCCAGCACAAGTCCGACAGTAAATATTACGCCATGAAGATCCTGGACAAACAAAAGGTATACATACATATCAATCAAGCTGGCATATTTTGAAATCATAAGCAGTATGTTGATTTTAATCGCAATCGCACAGGATTCTTTTGGGAAACTTACACCCATTAAACCGAAATTTTTAACATTGGTCAACATCTGAACATTGAGCTCTGAAATTAATTTTTCATGTATAACCAATTGCATTTATGGATGCTTGGGCATATAATGGGGGCTGAATCTAAGCTAAGATTAGGTCATGGTGTCAAATAAATTTCAAGGATTTCTAATCGAAGAAAATTATTGCGCGTTGTGATTAGATTAAGGTGGGATTTTTTATGGCCCAAGCAGCACAATTGTGTAATTACTAAGATGCTAAAGTTCTCTGTAATAGTGCTAGGTGATTTTATTTCTTGAATGAAATAGTTGACGGCAAAAGATATGTGCGAATGATTTTGAAGCCTATTTTAAGCTAAACTTCTCGAAAATGAACACAGTAGAAGATGGTCGAGTTAGAAGAAAGAGAGGGCATAGAGTAGGACCGAACTTCGCAAGTGCAGAAAAAGCAGGCATTATTTAAGGTCAATGAACGCTTCTGAGTTGAGAAGAGAGTAGTTGAGGAACCTATGATGATTAATATTGTACACTGGATACGACATTGAAAACACAGAATAATGAATTCGCTTAATTATTACAAATCAGAAAGTTTTAAAAACCTTGCACAGAAAATTTGGACATTTACGCGTTTGTAGCAGATTTTATTGCATCTCAGTGAATCATTAGCATTTGATTACATTCCGTTACTGAGTTACTTCTCAAGTTTGACTGATAATTACACCTAAAACGTTCCAGAAAGTACTAATTTAGAAAAATGACGTGTGAACAAAATATGCAAAATAACGTGTGAACAATTTTCGAACAGCTTTATTTTGTAATTTTGGAAGGGGGATGGGAAAGAGCGGGAACTTTTTGAAAAACCGATATTCAAAGGCTTTCATAGAATGTAACGTTGCGTTTTCTATGTCGCCCAGTAAATAACGCCACCTCTAGTTCACACGCAAGTCTTTGTAGTAGTTAGAACATAGTTGAAAGATCTGTGAGGGAAAAAGAGCCCGGCCTGAGGCCACGAAGTGCCTGATGGAGGCTCTTTTGCCCGAGGCCATCTTCAACTATGTTCTAACTGTTGAAGAGTATGTGTTTTGCCCGAGGCCATCTTCAACTATGTTCTAACTGTTGAAGAGTATGTTTTTGCTTGTTCTGCTCGTTTTTGCTCTTTCAATTGTTATAATCTGGCGTCTTTCAAAAAAGAGCCCGGAAAATTTAAAGTGCGCAAAACTATGCAAATGATTTCTTTTTTCATTCATGCGTTCTAATATTTCATTTTTCATTCGTGCCTAGTCGTGAAAGAACATATGTGAAAGAGCAAAAACATACTCTTCTTTTCGGAAGTTTGCCTTCGTGATATTTTTTCTATGTTTATTGAAAATTAGTTATCTATCAATCGGGAATTTGTAGCAAGTTATGCTGTTTGTTTGAAACATAGATAGTTGTCTCGCATATTTTAATTTCGAGCTCAATACTGTCACAAATTTTAACGAAACTTTACGATAACTTGAAAATTGAAGATGCATAGGTTTAAACAAGCTGGTCACGTGTGTTCTTATGGAATTCAGTTAAATTAAACGTGGAATTCATATGTGATCGTGGTGATTCAAATCAGAGGAGAATTCGTAAATAGGAGGCGTATCAACGTTTTGCGTTTAATTGTCACCTTATAAGTTATCACAGCAATTGCATCTAAAAATATGTAAACACCGCCATAAACAACTTAAACTAGAAAGGATTATCTGTTGAATCATGAGATACCGGATACAAAATAGATTTTTCAAACGTGTTGCCAAATCTCTTAACAAAATTGATGCACGTTTTGTTTAGGTTGCAAAGCTGAAACAAGTGGAACATACATTGAACGAGAAGAAAATTTTGGCATCAATCGATTTCCCGTTTTTGGTCCACATGGATTATCATTTCAAAGTGAGTATTGATAAAGTTTTCAAGATAAGGTTGAAAAAAGGCTCAAAATTTTCAAAGTTGAATGTGCCAATTTTCATTTTTGTCACAAGTCTGAAAAAAATTGTTTCAGGACAACACGAATTTGTACATGGTCCTTGAGTTCATCAATGGCGGTGAAATGTTCTCTCACTTGCGAAGAATAGGAAGATTCAGGTAAATTCTGTCAACTTGTATGAACTGCTGCTTAATAGTTCAATATTTTGTAACATTTTCATACCCAATATGAAAATCCAAGAGTGGTTTTAGAAGGTCCTAGAGCAGTTTTAGACTTCATTAGAAATCAAATCTGCAAAAAAACTCAAATCTGGCCATGAAACAAATAATAATAATAACAAAGGGTTTAGGAATATAATCCAAGGGTTCTCATAAAACCCAGTCATTGCATTACTCAAAGTTTAGTTTTCAGTTATAAGTAAGAGTTTCTTCAGGTCTCTACAGTTGTTGCATTCGCATAAAATGCGCCAAATGCATGTATCTGATTCGTTGTAGTGAGTTTTGAAAAACTTTGTGTACATCCCTAGAAGTCTGTTTTTGCATTCTGGGTCAAACAATATGTCTCATTTGAAGTATTCGTTGTACAGATTAGCAAAACGACATGCCCGAAATCAAAAATCTGAAACGGAGTCAAGAGCGGAAACATGATATACAAAATTATCACGCAACTCCGCTCATGACTGTTTCAGATTTAGTTAATAAAAAAAACTAACCAGCTATTAAGTGTAGCCAATGCTAAATGGATATTAACAGACTATTATATTACAAGTTCACAAGTTCAATTCTGGTCTATAGGCTTCGGCCTCTATCGACCAGCTCTTTCGTCGACGTCCATTTCGTCATTCCAAAAACGATGCGTCGTACATATACAGGGTTGTTAGTACCTCAGCGCCCGATGAAGGAAGTGGCAGAACAGAATTTTTGGTTCAGAGCAAGACGGCTGGCTAACCTATGTCCCATCAAGTTGAACGAATTTGGACTGAAGAACAAGCTCCTGACATGGATGTGGATTGTCTTTGTGAAAAGTTTCTCTGAAAGCAACTTATGCAGCTGGAAGACTTATTGCGACTGTACAACCTGTAGACTTCTCGTAAACACCTGATCAACTGTCTCTGAACGGGGGCAACCCCTTGCGTTTATACGCTAAATTCCTTATAATAATAATAATAATAGATGAAGCTTTTCCTTATTATCGCGACCATGCCGTTGGCCAACCTTGTTTTCTTGGCAATGTGCTCACGGAATAGTAGTCTCGAGTCAACTATAACCCCTTAGTCTTTCTCGGTTTGAACATTATTAAGGGATGTATTCCCATCTAAGGTGTAATTTCGTTCCGCTAGTTTTACCCTTCCCGTTAACGTGAGCGTATGGCATTTTGTCATGTTGAACTTCGTAAGGCTACCATCAGCCCATTTCGAAATTGCATTCAGATCATTTTGCAGTTCTTCATCTTCACCTAAAGCTGTGACTGATCTGTAGATTTTCGTATCATCTGCGTAGAGGAGCATTTGGGATGTGATTCCATCACCCATCGAGTTTATGTATATTAAGAACAGAATTGGTCCCAGTACAGACCCTTGTGGGACTCCACTGATGACGGGTGCCCATTCCGAAAAACTTTCGTTGAACACCACTCTTTGTTTTCTTTCTGTTAAGAATGAGGTAATCCATTCGAGAGTTTTTCCTCTGATCCCGTATCTCGAAATTGTGTTTAGTAGTCTTTTGTGGGGTACACTATCAAAGGCTTTTTGGAAGTCAAGAAAGATGATATCTACCTCGTTACCTCTGTCCAGTTCTGCTGTCCAGTCGTCAAGTGCTCTCAGTAACTGTAGGGTCGTTGATCGCCCTGGTAAAAACCCGAATTGCTTGTCTGATATGATATTGTTGTTTTCTAAAAATTCAAACAGGTGACGTCTGATGATTTTTTCCATAATTTTACAACAAATGGATGTCAGGCTAATAGGTCTGTAATTGTTAGGATCACTTTTTGCGTCCTTCTTGTGAATTGCTGTTATATTTGCGCATTTCCAATCTTCTGGTATTTCACCTTTCTCCCAAGAACTTTGCATTAAACCACTCATCATTTCAGCTATTTCGTATCGGGATTCTCGCAATACCCGAGGGTGTACGTTATCTGACCCTATTGATTTCGTAGTGTCTAGCGCATTGAGTTCATTTAGGATTTTCTCTTTGGAGATAAAGAGGTCATCAGATATTTGATTTTCTTGGTAATCCACTACTTCCCAGCTGCCTGGTGTTTCGATCGTGAATACAGAACTGAAAAAGTTGGCAAGAGTATCAGCTTTATCTTTGTCGTTCATGGCCCACTTGTCTGGTCCAATTTTGAGAGCCAGTATTGTTTCGGTTGTTTTAATTTTTTTATTCACGTAGTTCCAGAACTTTTTAGGTTGGTGTTTGATGCTTTTGGATACATCTTCTTCGTGCTTTCGAACACTTTGTCGTGTCAATTTCCTGACTCTGTTTCGAGCCGATGTGTAGTTTTCAAAGTTTCTTTGCGACTTCTCTTTCTTAAAATCTTTCCAAGTTTTATGTTTATCTCGAAGTACATCTCTTACTTCGGAGCTCATTGGCATTTTGTGTTGCTTTATCCGGATTTTCATTTAAGGTATAAATTTCTTGGTGGCAGAATCAAGAGTACTTTTGAATTTATTCCAATTTTGGTCAAGGGTTAGCAAAGATTATTTTTTAAGTCAGACCTGAGTTCATCGTAGCTTCCTTTATTGTAATTTAGCCTCTCTTTGGAGCGCCTTGTTGTCCAAAGGTTGAATTTTGTTTGTAACAGTGTGTGGTCACCTTTCCCCAGTGGAGAGATGTATTCAATGGAAGATGGTTCTAAGGTTTTATCAGTTAATAAGAGGTCTAGGAGTGACGGTTCATTATGTTTGGTCACGCGTGTTGGTCTGTCAACATGTTGGTCGAGATAAGAATCTTTGACCGCCTCAATGAAATGGTGTTCTTTGCTGTTTTCGTCGTGATTCGTGCTCACATATTTCCAGTCTATATCTCGGAAGTTCATGTCTCCCAGTACAATGTATCTAGATCGACTTGATCCTATTTGTCTTAAAAAATTGTTGAGGTTCGAGTTGTTTTCGTGAGTTGGTGATGGGCTCCGATATGTCAAGGCGATGACAACTTCTCCCTCCGTTAAAATCAAGTTAAACACTTGCAGTTCCTCGAATCCAGAGTCATCGTCTATTTCTTTATATTCGATGTCTTTACGAATGTAAAGTAGCATGCCTCTGCCTTTTTCATCCGGATTCATGTTTTTGTGTTTTAAGTTGTAGCAATCAAGTTTGTGCCAAATTGGGTTCCATATGTTTACAGAATTCTTAGGTTTAGCTTCTGTAAGAGCAATAACGTGCGGTAACAGGTTTGTTTGATGTATTAGCGTTTGTAACTCTATGAACTTTTCAGGGTTTAGGGTGTCTACATTCCCGAACCAGAGCTCAAAATGTTCTGTTTCCGGCGTTGTTCTTTGCATCATTGTTATCTCCCTTTTCTTTACTCTGATTATTTTGTTCCCTCTGACAATGTGAATGAAGTTGCCGGGTTCCTCTGCTGTTAAGTTTTTTGCTCGCTGCACTAGGAAGCGGATTTTTCCCTTTTTTTCATGCGCCTGTCTGGAGTGATTCTCAGGTGTTTTAGCTCATCCTTGGCATACTTCAATTTTGTCAGATTTTTCATCTTGTGTTCAGCATCATCCTGTGTTTCCAGTGTGATTCTCAATGGTCTTGGCCTCGTTTCGTTTTCAAGGGTCCTCAGATAATTTGCCAAGTCTGGTGCGATTTTTAACTATTGTTGGTTCAATTTCTATGCTTGCGCATAGCTCACGGATTAATGACTTTTTTCATTCTGTCGCAGTTTCGGTTCGGTTGATTTTCTTTCCGGTGCTTTGTGTATGATTAGATTTCGTTTTCTTCTTAAATCTTCTTCCTCTTCTCTTTTTTGCTCAGCTCCAGCTTCAAGGATTATGTCTTTCAGAGGTTTAGTGACATTTGGTTCTATCTTCCAGGGATTTGCATTCGATCCCATTGTTGGCTGTGCTTTGTTTTTTGTTTCATTCATGAAGTAATAAAAATCCTCCATTAGAATTTTCACGGAATCAACAGTTTTATCCAGATCGGTCCTCATTTTGGATATGTCCTGATGTGTTTTTGGAGTCACTGCGTCTTTCATTAGGTTCTTTACATCCTCGGTACAATTGTCGCAGCACCATATTCCTTTAGATTTCGACATGTAATCATAAACTGCCGTTGGCATTTTCAAACATTTTGCACAAAAATGTTTTGCACAGTTATCGCACTCCAATACTTGATCCAAGGGATCTCCGTAGTTTTTTCTACAGGTTACACACGTCCAGGCCTCATCAACCTGTGATTTATTTGTGTTTTTCCATGTACGGTTACTCATTTTTAAAGACTTCACCTAGGCCGCTCCAGAACAAGTTCCAGGTAGCTACCAGAGTAAAATCTATTAAAAAAAAAGAGTTTCTAGCCTTACTGTTTCTTGCTTTTCTTATTCTTCTTGTTCTTCTTATGCTTTTGAGGCCTGCTTTTTTTCGTGTTCGTTCTATCGCTTCTTTTTTTCGACTTTCTTTTTCTAAATAGGGGTCTATACTTCACAAGGGACTCGAGGTTTATAAATCGTTTTAATATGGTTTCAAGGAACTCTATTTCCAATATAGTTGAGGGGTGGATTTTCTGGAGGTTGGATTGGTACCACCACTCGTTTTGTTTCCTTCTGGAGATTAGCTTTTTTTCCGGCTGGTATTACGAGAATGTCCAGCTTTCGTAGATCCTCGAAGATATTTCTCGTGCCTTCCCTTTGGCAATATATAATTGCCTTGATTCTCCAACTATGCTTTCTGAGTGTTTTGATTAGGTTCGGGACTGTTTCTGCTTTCTTGTTGTTGAGTCGATGTTTGGTGATCGTGTTATTCAGCACGTCGTGCCAAAGGATTATCTCTTTTTTGTTCCTGAGTGATCCCTTTTCCAGGAGAAAGTCGAGATTCAGGACGTTATGGATAGATTTGGGATTGAGACTCAGTCCTTTCGTTGCAAAACTGATTCGGGACAATACTCTCTTCAATTTATTCGGGGCTACTTCGGTTGAGGCTTTGAGGGAACTGGCTCCAATTATATACACCATTAACAATCTTCACCCACGAAACTAGAGGCGTGGGACTTGTTAATAGTGTATCGATTCAGTCCTGTAGCTCAGATTATCTGAAATTACACGGTTTGTAAATTTGAAATGGACAAGCTTTTTAATAAGTTTATCACAACAATTAGGCTAAATAGCACTTTAGCTTATTTTTGTTTAACTTAGTTTATTTTAGCTTAAGTTATTATGGATCTGTAGCGTAGAGGTAGGGAAGGAGACCCGAGCAAAATAAGAGGGTTCGAACCTGGGCATGGTCGGATGTTTTAATGAACTTTTTCGTATAGTAGTTAAAATGCGTCCGTTCTATAAAATGAGGCTTGTTAGTTGGTAAATTTCTTTTTTCAAATTGACTGTACTGCTAATGCGTCATAATTGACTTGCGTTATTTAACAATTATGTAGACTCGTAATTGGCTTGCGCCACTTCAGAAAATATGTAGACTCAAAGTTTTACTATTCAGTTTTTCCCAGCAACGTTATCGGTCATATTTCTGCTTGTGTATGCGAAGTGCAACTTCGGTTCTTGTTAATATATATGAAATTACATCATTGGCGGACTGTTGTTTGACTATTTTTTGTCGTCCAAGTTTCCAAAGCATGGAATTTGCGTCTGGTTTAAGTGTTAAAGTTAAGCTTGCGATGAGCAAGGTTTATTGAAAGTCGTTCTGTAATTTTTTCCACTTTGTTTTTGAATAATTTCTTGTTTATTTTTTGGTTCAATGGTTTCGGCTTATTTTATAAGGCCACATTCATCTTAGATTACGTTTTCAAGTTTTAAAATGTCAAAGTTCAATTTTTTTCATTTCAACAATTGGGATCGGTTCAACGGGCGTCGACCCAACTATTGTCGGTTAAATGGCGACTTGGAGAACGTTATTGTCTTGGGAATTATTTTCAGCTCATCAGGCCTCTACTCAAATTTGTTGGGCTAAATGGCCACTAGATAAATATTTATGAATACAAATTTAACGCTAATGATTGCGTTGCTCGACAGTGTTTTCCTGAAACGGAGTATCAGTCATAGACAACTTACGAACTTCTATGAAATTTAGTAGATGAAGTTTCAACATTTTTGCAATAGTTTTCTATTCAGATCTTCCGTCTCATTTTCTATTGGCTAGCTTGCTATGCTTGCGCCGTATCGCAAGTGCTACGAAGCTCTGCTTCGCCTCTGAGAATGGCTCATGAAGTTCAAAGACAAGGTTTTCAACTCGTTGCTTTTTTTAGTTTGAAATTGTTAGCCGAATGAAATAATTTTTAGATCCAGTTTTCTTATATCGGGTTAGTTTCATCTGAAATTTTCAATCATGAAACCCTAAAACACTTGACTCTGAAACCCTCGACTATGAAACCCGAAAATAAAAATCATAAATTGTTGCATTATAAATTCGATAACGACATTGAACTGTTGCATTATAAATTCAATAACAATCTTGAATGTTTGAGCAAGAATACAATTAGGGTTCTTTTTTTTCCAACCTGAGTCCGACTTTTTGTACATTTTGAGTTCATTTTCTAAAAGTATGCAAATTGCGCTCTACAATTGCGGAAACGGTGCTAAACAATATGATCGATTTTTACTTTCAAAAGTGGATTTTTTTCAAATATTTCCAGTCAGAAAAAAAAACATTTAACCATTAATCCAGTTTATACACTTGCGAACTTTAGTGAGCGTAGTTTTATTCGACGACTATTCTTTTAGTTTTAGCCTAAGTCGCAGATATTGGTGCCACTTTTGGGACACCTTTACGGCTTTTTCATAGCCTGTGCTCTAACAATCGAATAGTAATAAGTTAACATAGTTGATACATTTTAAATTCATCAAATGAACCGAAAAAAAGTCATTTGTTTCAAACAACAACAAAAATTACGATTTTAGACTTTTTCAGAAAAACTCGATTTCAGAAATTTTCTCACTCAATATATCTCGCAATTTTTCGAAATTCATCGTTTATACGTAATATAGCTTTATGGTCTCCAATTTCTCAAATGCAGAATTAGTGTGGATGCCTTCAGTTTTTTATATGTCAAACTATTACTTGCAAAATTGTGTCTATTTCTGTTTGGTGCCCTTTTTGCTGCATAGCATTGGCAATTTGTTAGCTCATGTAGCTGCTTTGTTTGTAACAACATGTGACAGTTGTTAAGCATGCGTGACCGCGAGGGCTGGGCGTGAGATTCCAATTCTCGAAGTAGCAGGTTCGAAGCCCATACGTAGCAAAATTTTACTAATTCGAGGCTTTATTCTATCTTTCATATTTCACTTTATAAAGCTGCTTTTTTGTGGTGCTCTTGCTAGTGTTTGCGAAGCGCAGCTTCGCTGTTGTCTTAAATTGCGTTATTTTTATGGAAAAAGGCCAATCATAAAAAACTCAATTTAACCAGAATATATTTTCTATTTGAGAGTTGAAAAGTTTTCCAAATTTTTGGGTTCCTTTGTTTTTATACACTTTTCCGAACGTTTGTTGACAATGTAAATCATAAATAAGAATTGAATACTTGTCTTATCAGCTTTTTTATGTAGACGTATTCTTTCCAACCTGGTATCTCAAGGTGCATTCTTACCCCTGGCATCTAAAGATAATCATGTTGCGATTAGCAAGCGTGATCAAATCGGGATATAGAGTTAGCTCAAATTGTTTATCAAAATCAGTATAATCATTTCATGGACGGCCAGTGCTCGGAGGTGGAATCCGCGTCACGTTGTCTAGCACCAAGGATGTGTCAGTTTGATGGCAAAAAGCTTGATATCGATCTTGATGGGGGCGATGTTTTGTCTATAGGGTTACGTCGCTGATTACGAGTTCTTATCTTTCTTGGAATATTGAAAGTTTTTCAAAAAACAAGTCAGCATTTTTTTTCTGTTTACTTGCGTTTCTTGACTTGTTTCCAACTATCTTGTCTCTTGGTTAAGTTTTGTAATTTCGGTGGTCGGGGCAATGACAGAATGGTGACGACATTTTATCAGTTTTCCACGGTTTTTATAGAAGAAAAAGTAAAAGATATTCAAGTAGCGAACGATTTCGCTTATTCCTTATTTTCAGCTTCGACTTTCGTGCTTTTTTTTTCAATTTTTGTAGCTTAAGTTTTCTTTGTACGGCTGTTTTTCTTCTCTGACCATTAGTTGAAGATTGAAATGATGGTAGCTTAAAAAAGACGAATTAAATGTAAGCTTTAACTCTTTAAGTTTTTTCACGATCAAGTTCAAGTTTTCGTGGTTTGATTTATGATTTTTTCGTTTGTTAAATGAAGGCAAACGTCACTATCGAAAAGCAATAGTGAAAGGTTTACGAAAAACGTGAATGACTTTTTAGTTTCCAAAATGGACTTCAGTTTTCAATGGAATAAAAAAGTTAGCCTTTGATCCAGTTTTGATCTAAAAACGTCTTAATCGTAAACAATTTTTGAAGTTAATAGAACTTCAACGTGATATATTTTTTTCGTATCCTTGTTTACATTTTTCCAACTTTCTGTTTGGCTATATTTTTACAGTTTCTGCCCCTTAGATAAATCTCAGAAAAAATTACAGGTCAGAAAAAAACTAAATAGTTCAAGCGATAAAACGCCTTGTTTATATTGAGGCTACAGCAAGCCGGCCTGGCACATTTCAAAACAGGGTGTTTTAAAACCGTTTAAAAGCACTGTTTTAAAACAAGGCCGTTTTTGCTGTGTTAGAACATCAGGACGGTAACATCTTCCAAAAGTGAGACGCTATAAAATTATTTTTCTTTGGCCGGCACATGTAAGGTTTGCAGCTAATTTTTTTTGGATCAAATCCGCAATGCAGAAAACCATAGTGTAGGTTTTTGAAAATTGCTCCAAAATTCGGAAATAACATGTTTCAATATTCAGCGGAAAAAATTAAAACTGTTTTAAATATAAGTTTTATACGTCTTTAACCAACGGTGCACCAAGTACCTAATAATGTTTTAGCGAGCCACATAGCCGTTTCTATGCATCGCAAATCGTCCTAGCATTTGAGTATCTGCATCATCTGGATCTAATCTACAGGGATCTGAAACCCGAGAACTTGTTGATTGACTCACACGGTTACCTCAAGATCACAGATTTTGGTTTTGCCAAGCGAGTCAAAGGGCGAACCTGGACGTTGTGTGGAACACCTGAATACTTGGCTCCCGAAATCATCCTCAGCAAAGTATGTTTTTTAGTCCAATGTGAAGTAATGATGGCCATTTCTAAGAGATGCTCTCTACTGTATTGAAGGGCATTGGTAGGATATCGCTTATGCATCATATATAAATTGAAAATGGTGCTATCAAATTGAAATGTATTTACTGTGATTTATTTGTACTGATTCCAGGGCTACAACAAAGCTGTGGATTGGTGGGCATTGGGAGTGCTTATCTACGAAATGGCAGCCGGATACCCTCCGTTCTTCGCAGACCAGCCCATTCAGATCTACGAAAAGATTGTCTCTGGAAAAGTGCGGTTCCCCTCCCACTTCAGCAGCGACCTGAAGGACCTGTTGAGGAATCTTCTCCAGGTAGATCTGACGAAGAGGTTCGGAAATCTGAAGGCAGGAGTGAACGATATCAAAGGTCACAAGTGGTACAGCTCAACTGACTGGATCGCCATCTATCAGCGAAAGGTCAGTATGGTTGCATGGTTGCTTACGAAAGGTCAGCATGGTTGCATATGAACCAGCTCCAAGTATTCCACAGCTATCAGATAAACAGCCGAACATAAACCATATATTTTTTAAAGGTCGAGGCTCCTTACATCCCCAAGGCTAAGGGACCCGGAGACGCAAGCAACTTTGATGAGTACGACGAAGAGCCGCTGAGAACATCAATAAACGAGAAACTAGGCAAGGAATTTGCCGACTTCTAAACACCCTCTAAAGAGAACAAAGATTAAGATAAAGCGATGAGATTGTATTTAAACTTGTTGGACTGAACACCACCTCACGCTGTGCAACTAACATAACGACGTACAAAATCGAGAGACCATTTAATTGGTGTGCAAACTCTAAACTCTCTATTCTATCCCAACTTTTTTAATTTTCTGTATTGTAGCAAGCAGTAAATCAAAGTTTTAAATTTATTTCACAACTCATGCTGCTAATTATGATTGCAATGATTGCTTAATTTTTCGCAAACCAAGAGAAACAAATTATAGACTCGAAGTTCCAGGATCTCCAAAAATCAAGATCATCCGGTGTTTTGTTATGTCAAATAGTGTATTATGAATTATTGCTAAATGTGATTTCTAAAATGTTCGATCTAGAAATGAGGTCCAAAAACCACCTGCTTCTGGTAGCACTGTTCCAGAAGCACTGAAATATCTATCAAAATTTTTTGTACAGGTTATGCATGCATTAGGAAGTTTAATACACCCATATAGCATCTTGCGAATGATGAATTATGTGCTTGCAGTGTAGATGCTATAATAGATTTGCAGCAGCTTGCTGTTACACCAAATTTAAAAATCTATCCTTTTGAATCTACTATAAATTGTGCATAGTATTCTTTACTAATATAAAGTAATCTAAGGAAATAACAAATTTTAGGTGTTTTACTGTTAATTAGCTAATAAAAAGTTGATACTTAATTTTAAATATTAACTAACTGTTTTTCAGCAAGATGGAACAGGACTGAGTCACCTTGAAGCTCATTTTTGGTGCGCTCCTTAAAATTTTAATCGAAAAGCTTTTTAACCAAGGCGTGAAACTTGTATTTGACCCCATTTTCGGTACAACTTCGAAAAAACTTGGAGGAAAATTGTTAAGCAAGTTGGTATCTTCAAGGTAATGAGCATGAAAACATTTTTGAAGCCAGTATTTTGAAAAATTGTTGAACAGATGAAAATCTGTTTTCTCTTTTTTTTTTGCTGAATTCAAATTTTGTTCGCGCTTGACTTGAAATTTTTGTTTCGGAGACAAGGAAAACTGAATTTAGACAATATTTGGCCCAAGGAAATTTTTTTGTTTAGATCGAAGTTACAGAAAAGCAAAACTATCATAATATCGCAGAACTATCGAAACTATTATTATCAAGAGTAATGAACGTAGTCAAGACTCATATAGGTCTTGGTAACATTTGTTTATATTTTCAGGAAAAATACTAGAACATTCAACGCTCAGTTTTGAGTTTTCGCAGCTGTATTTTTGATTTATTTATCAGGTGAATTTTTTTCCCGTTGTTCAAGAAAACGTTAACTCCAATTTCGAACAGCAAAGTTATAAAAGTTACAAACAACCTTATCGACTTATATTATAGTGTTCAAATTGTATTTTGAAGTTCAGATTTCACAGCGGAAAAGAAATTTTCATTTTGATAGAGTATCTCAAAATCAATGAGATTTATCAAAGAACAACTACATCAATTTTGGCTTAAACGTAGAACTTGAATTTCAAGAAGCTTGATTTTGATTTGTTTTATGAGTTGAATTTAGACAATTTTTCGAAATTTGAAAAATGATTTTTTTTAGCCTTCGGTAATGCGCGTGTAGTAACCATGATATTATGGTTTCCCCCTTTTTAACTCTAAACAACTTAACACCCTACAATTTCACTCCCTACTTTTTGTTGCCTTAGCACTTTAACATCGCTACATTTCAAAACAATTTTTCTGATTTAACACCATTTCAATCCAAAATGAAAAGAAAACTTACTTCAAAGGGAATTTCGGTAACCATCAAAGAATTAAACGAGAGAAGTTTTTGCCATTTAAAGGCAGACAAATTCGCGTTACTTGCTTTGCGTAAGTTTTGAACAGAAACGACCTTGCAAATGATTTCAATGAAACGTTTCAAACCAAAAAGAAACGGCCTTGCCAATATTTTCAATGAATCATTCCAAAATGAACCAAAAACAAGCAATAATTCAAATGAATTTCAAAAGCTCGCAAATAATTAGAGGTCCTTTGACTAATATGGCATAGTTTTCTAGACATTTTCAGTCGGTATAGAAATTTAAAAAAGGTTTAATCAATGCCAAAAGCCTAAAAATCAAAATTATTTGAAGCATTCTCGAACTTAAATTTATGACCTGATCGCTTTGTCAGCTTTTTTTGAACTGTTGGCAGATAAACGCAAAGCTAAAGGGTTTGCCAGCCCGTTGTCTCAACCTAGCATTCCTAAAATAAGGGCGATTGTTCTGGTATTAAATTGGTAATGCACGAGTCAAGTTCTTGCGTTTAGTTACGTTTCCGGGATTCTGCAAGAAACGTCTTTTCAAAAAAAGCTGACAAAATTTTCAGTAGAGTTAAAGTTTGATTTTATATTTGATTTAGATTTGATATTTGGCAAAACCGCTCTGGCAACTGCAACAGTCGGGGTAAATCTCTCGCTGAGATCTTTTATATGCTTTATGACATTTCGAGCCTCCGATTTTCCCGCTGAAATGTCATGGTTATGCTCTTCACGCGTCTCGATTAATTCATGATTTTCAGTAATGGCAGTTGCTCGACATTTATGTGTTTGATATTTTGACCAAATCCAGTTTTCTGTAAACTTATTTTTTCGCTTGAAATAAAGTTCTTGACCGGACGCTATAGGAATTGGCTTGTTTTTAGATGAAACTGTGAATTCGAAAAAAGACTCAATCAAAATGTGTTTATTGTGTTTGCGTTTGTTTATCACTCGAGTAAAGTATTAAGTGACTGTCAAAATTTAATTTTTGCTAGAATTTTTACGTCAAATTGATATGAATTAGCACAAGCAACTCTTTTTGTAATCATAATGGTTTAGCGAAAAGTCTAATTAAAAATAAATTACAAACTTGTTGATAAGAGTCTTAAGAAATTTAGGAAGCCTCCTTTTAGCATTTATAACTAAGATAAACCAAGTTTTTCATTATGGTGCGTGCGTTAAATGCAGGATTAACTTTGGTGTGATAAGAGCTAAGATAAGGAATTCATACAGCATTAATTTTAATAGTGAAACGACTAGGTGTTAAAATTTACTGTGTTGAACTGGAAAATAGGAGTTATATTGTTGTCGATTTAAATTGTTTAGTAATGAAATGACTAAGTGTTAAAATGTACGGTGTTAAATTGTATGTCATTAAATTGTAGGACACCGATATTATTTGCTTGAACGTATGTAATGATATTAGAAATCAACAAGGTTATTTCAAGCCAATTATTTAATCTAGAATTGATTCGTTTCAGATAGTTTTAATTAGCGCAACAGTCAGCGAAAATAAACCATGAGATAACTTTTTTGGAAAATTTATCAGTTCTGAAAAAAGATTGAAATATTTCCTTAAGTTAAAACATGGCGGATACAGCAAGATTTCGGATGCAAAATAATTGTACTGACATGGAAATACTGAGTGTACAGGGCCATGGAAAACTCAGACATGCCATATCAATTTAAATTTTGGTTGGAACAATTTCTCATGGCTGTGACAGTGAAAGAAAACGTCAGCCCTGAGTTACTTATAGAAGATCCAAAGATCGTTTTCGAGGAAGCACCACCAAGATGAGAGATGCCGATACACGATGAAAACGCAAATGCTATAGCAGCACAACAATTAACAGACAATTTGGCAGTTGACAGTGTAACACCCTAAAAAATGAAGAATGAAAGGCACGAGGCCCTTAGTTGAGGCACTACATTTTTTTCATGTATCATGATTAAATTTAACAGTGAATGCGGACAGCAAAAAACGCTTCAATTGATTGTAGGAGCCAGGAAAAACATTAGAGCGACTTTATGATGCTCTTACCGACTGCTGAAGCAGTCTTTTGAAAAATGGAAAATTTAGAAGATGAATTGGTGAGGGACATGTTTATATAAAGAATGAAACCCACTGAACTCAAAAAGACACACTAACTTTAAAAATATATATCCAGAGGAAGTCCTTAATGGAGCTATGAACTTTGATTACCGCAAACAGTCGACGCTTGATATGCAACAGGGAAAACTTTTTAAGGGGCGACCGTAAAAATTATACAATATCCATGATGGACATCGAAAACAGAAATATAAACAACAAACCATGGGGAAGAGACGATGACCGATCAAGACACAACGACTACAAAAACAGCTATAAAGTTACAAAAAAATGCAATAGATGTGAGATGATCTTCTCAGAGTGGACTTCTAAAAATTGTCTAGCTATGGTGAAACTGTACAAAAATTGCAATAACTTATCCGGAATAGCTGAAGAATTCGAGGCATCGGAGAAAGAGTACAATTTAGTCAAGGACTTTCATTTATATGATGAATTCAAACTAATATCTATAAAATTGGGAAAATAATCTCACAAAAATCAAAATGTAAAAAAAAGACAGAAAAAATACAGAAGAAACAAGGACAAGGACTGTCAGAGAAGATATTAAGCTTTCACGAGCTTTAAGCTTTCAGAGATCCAAGTTCAAGACGATGAAATCACTAAAAGCGTTATAGGCATCCCAAATATTCATTTGACAGCGGCTGGAAGCCCTGTACTGTTTCTGAAATGAGCAACAATGAAGCGTCAAACCAACAAAATTCTTTCTGGCAGAAAAATTTAATCTGCCAGCGCAGCAACCGATCATGGTTTTGGGAGCACTTAAATCAGAAACCAAGTCAACTGACTAAGATGTGGATGAAGCCACATTTCTTTTCTAATCACTGAATGGCAAACAAGGTGTAATTAGGTCTACACTTTCAGGAAAAACAGTGATTCACAATTACACAAAAAAAAATTAAAATTTTTTGACTGACAAAAGGAATCAAAAAATCTTGTGGTGAGCTCGAAGTTTAAGTTTCCATTTTGTCGCAACCAAAAACAAAATATTTGTGTCTACTTATTCATATACAAGAAAAAGTGCAGCTTGATATAAAGAAACTGGGGTACAAGATAGATGTACAAAAAATAGACAAAATTTTATCGCACCCATTGTCATCACAGCGAAGAAAGAAGTTTATATCAAACTTGCCTTAGATGCGCAGCCGAAAAAATAGGTAATTCTTCCGAATCAAAAACGAAATGCCAAATTTAGACGAACTACTAGACGGTGTAAGTCAGATAGTGTCAGCAGAAAAAGAAAGGTGACCATAATTCACTGTGTTAGAATTGGAGGCTGTACTAGGCTGTGCAAAATTAACATCGTAGAGGGATCATTTCAGGCATTCATGGAATTCTCCCAGCTTTCTGTGGGCTAGCTGTTATGCCGACGGGAACTTCAGAAGCAAAGCAGACCGAACCATAAACAACGCCGAAACTACTGTTAGCTTTCTGGATGACATTTCCGTGGTATCGAAGGAAACAAGAGTGATCACGATAAATGATCTTTAAAAGTCATGGAGGTATAAAACGAAAAAAAGAATGACGTGGAAATTCTGAAAATGCGAAAATTTCCAGAATGAAGCGAATTGTTTAGATCACAACTTACCTGAGAACTGGTTGTTTTTGAAAGTTAAGAAAGCTGTAGCGATACTAATACTTATTGTATATTGTATAATCATTACCTGGAAAAGACATGGGTTTTTTTGAATTATTTCTTTGGAAAGCCTAACAGCCTACCGTGACCTGAGTTCGAATTAGATGCAGAGTTTTCAGTTACGTCTTTAGTCAGTTTTCATGAGGCTCTCGACTGCTTCAATTAAGATGCACAGCTGCGTTGTTATTAAATAA